GAAGTCAGGGATTGTGATGCCTCCAGAAGTTCTTTTATTGTACAGGATTGTTTTGGCTATCCTGAATTTTTTTGCTTTTCCATATGAAGTTGAGTACCGTTCTTTCCAGGTCTTTGAAGAATTTTGCTGGGATTTTGATGGGCACTGCATTGAATCTGTTCTAAGCTATTTTTCTACTGTTCCAAGTTGGGCATTGACATTAAAATGGTATAGGTTTTGTCACCTCTCCAACCACATTTTCTCTTTTACACATCATTTATTTTTCTTACTGACATATGGACCTTGCTATTCCTCTGTATGATAAATATGTAGCCTACCTTAGGGACTTCCTTTTGTTGTTCACCTGTCTAAAATAAACCTCCCTCAGGTGGCATGCACAGAGGATGCCACATTTTACTTTAGCAGGCAACCCTAATTACCCTATCTACATCAGAAGATTTTACCAGTCAGGTCCAAACAAGACAATAAAACTCATCTAGGTATTCCAAGTAAAGGAGGTGTGAGAAGACTTTTAAAGACGAGGCATTGGTTATAAATGTACTACAAAACTTAGAGGCAGAGTAAACAGAGAAAACAGTGTTACTAAAGACTAGTGACTGTAGAAATCTGCCACTGTGTTCAAGGCTGTTGGAAAGTGATGAGTCTAAGAGGTGGGCTTCTCCTAATGCTTTCACCTTCTTTCTACCTTTTATGCCATGTGAATGCATACAAATAGCAAAACCCAAGTAAAGGCTTAGTGTGGTCCATGCATGAAAACCTAGCACTCATGATGCTGAGGCAGGAGGGCTATAAATTTGAAGCCAGTGGGAACTACATAGTGGGATTCTATCTAAAAGCACAAAAAACTAGTATCTAGATAACAGCTCGCAAGAGAGTCTGGGACATTTAGTTTCCAGGCTTTCACTCTAATTGCAATAGCAGGGCTGGTGTTGGATAAGTTTCAGCAGACATTCTTTATCATTTTACCCCTATTTCTTTTTGTGCCTTTATCACTATTTGCTTACTGACTACTTTCCAGTTAGAATCTCAACTGTGTATGAATAGGGAATTTATCTTTCTTGCCTATCACAGACCTGCTGTATCAGAACACTGCCTGGCATAAAAAGCATAGTAAGTGGGGAGGGGTTGGAAGTAGTGCACCACAGTGGAGAAAGGAATTTTAAAATTTCAATGTTTTCTTACAGGTATATAAAAGACTGTTTTATCACTGACATTGTTAAAAATAGCCAATTCATGGTGATTAATAAAATAGCGAACTGACATTTAGTCTATTTTATTACTGATTTCTAATTTTCTATGGACAGTGCATTCTCTAGTTCTGTTCCCATGGATATTTGTTAAAGATTAAATGTCAGCTTGTTATAGGCAGCATTTCTTTTATTGTCCTTTGTTTTTGAGACAGGATCTCATGCAGCCCAGGGTAGTATTACTCCTCCCATGAAAATGGTGATTTCTTATACCATGCACATGGATTGGAAGGTACCATACATATCTAGTGGGTTCCTATGTATGGTCACACTTATACTAGGTATTTACCTTATAGGCATATCTTGGAGGCGCCCAAGATTATAACAATATATTGATTAATACATAGAACATGAAGTTTCTAAGCAAAGGTGACTCCTGCATTTCTTAGTATGAGTCTTATTTTTTTAATACCTGAGCTGTCACTTGCAGAATGAACAGTGTAGCTATAGAAGGTTATGAGGAAGAGCATTGTTCTCCTGAATAAGAAAGCTATCATTGTCTGATGGTACCCTGTTTGATGCTATTTACTGTCCAATATATTTCTCAGATTATTAAATTTAAGAGAGATTCTTATTAGCTGTCCTGGAACTCATTTCATAGATCAGGTCAGTCTCAAAATTGTGCCAGTTTTCCAACCTATGCATCCCAAGTTCTGGGATTACAGGCATGTACCACCACACATGGCCTGAATGTCCATGGGAGTCACACATGCAAGGCAAATGCTCAACCAGTTAGCAATACCTCTCAGCCCTGGAATCTGAGTGTGGATAACATGCACACACACACACACACACACCACACACACACCCACACACACACACACACAACAAAATGATAGAGGTTAAGAATGTATATTATGATCACTAAATAGTACTGCCTAAATTTTAACCTGTATACTTAAGATAAATATCTAGACCATATATTGAGACATAGTTAATAATTCTATTTCCTTAATTTTTCCATAATTCCCCATCCTTAATAAGGTTATAGCTTCACAAAATATTGGGCAGGTTTTAAATAGCTACAGAGATATTTTGTGTGATATTCTTGAATTTATTTATCCTTTATTTTATATGTATGGGTGTTTTGCCTGCATGTATATCTGTGAACTATGTGCACTTGTGGAGGCTTAGAAGAGGGCACTGGATTCCCTGGAACTGGAGTTATAAACCATTGGGAGCTACTGTGTGACTGTTGGGAAATAAACTGGGTCCTCTGGAAGATCTCTAATGGTGGCAATCTCTCCAGTCCCTTGGGTGATATTCTTTAGGTTGCCTAAAGGAACTGTCTTGCTTGTCTCTATCTGTATGTATCCATACAGTATCACATTAGATACAAAAAGTTTACCCAGAGAAATGCAAATTTTAATGGTTTCCATCTCACTGCAGTCTGAATGGTACCATCAAGAAAACAAATGTCAACAAGTGCTGGCAAGGATGCAGGAAAGAAGAACACCTACGTACTCTTTCTGGGGTAGTAACTGGTGAAGACACCGTGGAAATCAGTGTGGAGGCTCTTCAAAAAAATTGAAAATAGAGCTATGTGGTAATCCAGCTCAACCACTTTATCTGAAGGACTAAGTCAGCACACCACAGACATACCTGCACAGTTGCTGCTGCTGTACTATTCATAATAGCTGAAAACTGGAGACAGCTTACATGTCCATCAACACAGGTAAAGGAAATGTGGCACATAAGCAAGATTTTTCTTCAGACATAAATATGTTTCTCTAGGTGGTTAATAAATAAGAGTAAAGGCTAGGAAACTATAAAGAAGTCCACGAGAATATAAAAAAAAAGCTTTGAGAGAGAAGGGGGAAGAACACAAGAGAATAAAGTAGAAGAAGGAAGAATAAAAGAAGAGAACAAGTATAGTGGGGAAAGGAGGGCCAGGGAACTTGTGGGATCAACCAAAGTGTAAAAAGAGTGAAAGCAGTACACGGCAACACCTTTCTCTGAAAGCTAATTAAAGTTTTTTACAAAAAAAGAAATCCTGATATGTGCAGTAAAGTGGATGGGACAAGAAATATTATGCTAAGTAAAAAGGCCAGATCCAGAAAGAAAAAAACAATATTTCTCTCATATGTGGAGAATATATGTACACACACACACATATGTATGTGTGTGTGGGCCATTAAAGTAGAGAACAGAAGGCAAGACTATTTGGGGAGAGGAAAATGAGCAAAACGGGGACAACCGACACAGGGAAGGACAGTGGTGAGGGGGCTGAAAGAGAACCAAACATAATGGTATACTTTGAAAATGCTACAATGAAACTTAAACACTTTGCATACAAACTTAAAAAGTTAATTTAAAAGAGAGAAGTGTATCAGTCATACATCTCAATGAAATCCAGAACTAATATTTAAGAGGAGCTTGCACTGTGACTGGACACATGATAGCCTTGTCATGTTAACAGACAGAGGCAACCTCTTTCTGCCTCTTTGAAAATAGAGGTCGTTTTGGTAGTTGTTATTGTTTCTAATATCTAAGGACCTCAAACCTTCAGAAGAGGTATTATGTTTGTTTGTTTATTTATTTATTTATTTATTACCACTAATTTGCTTTACAATGCTTAGCACATAGAAAACATGTGGAACTAGAACACAGTCATAAAAGTAGCTAATTTTGAGTATAGATGGGGGAAACAGCAACACAGAGATTATAAAATTAGCAGCAGACATTTCTCTGCTGATAACATGGTGCCAGTTAGACACAGGATTACTAAAGCCATCTCTATCCTATCAAAATGAAAAGAACATTTGTTTCAGGTCAGTGATAATTTTTAGGGATGGCCTGAGTATTTGTACCTAGAAACATCGAGAATGCAGACTTAGCTTCCCATTAGTAGAATAAAAAAAAAAAATCCAATTCTGTTCTTTTGCTTTGACTAAAAGAAATATACAGATCACAGATATTTCCTTCCTAAAGACTTAAATAAATGAAAAATAATGCTAATGAAAGGTTACTTTTAGAACAAAGCTTTTCCCCCCAGTCTTGTTACTCTTTAATAGTATAGTCCAAAGAAATTGCTAAAAACCTTGGTTGGGTTTGATTGTTTAATTGTGTTTCTAGAATATTCATCCTTTCACATTCCCAATATGACTATAGAGCTGCTGGACATTTTAACAGTCTGTGCAAGAGAGTAGTTGGGAAGATTTCCAAGGGTTCTCAGAAAAAGATTGACTATCATCTCATTTCCAAGTGAGGCTGATATGACATGTAGCTCCATTCTGAATAGCATACCACTAGAGATACTGCACTTGAAACCCAAACAAACCCATCAGAGCAAACCAAACCCAAGAGGACATCAAACTCCACTAGTGACTAAAATTCCTCTAGGACTTTAACAAGAAGACAGGCTAGCCATGCTCCCTATTTCAGTCACTTACTGCCATCATTTCATAACAAGACACACAAACCGTGTTTCCACAGACTAAGCACTGTGTTTCGACAGTTTGCTATCTATAGCTTTCAGCTAACATTCTTTGTTTATTTATATAAGAGTGGGGAAAGGACATTGGCTATAATATTTCATTCTAAAAATGGAAGGCAACAACTTCTTAACACGTAGTTTCTAGTTTTATCTTATCTTTTGCATCTGAACTATGCCAAGGCCAACTTACTATTTCTCTGAAATGTGGTTCAGTTGTTGAGATCCATAATTTACAGCATGCCATTTGATAAAAAACATGCCAGGAAGGGTTTTATCTTATAAGTTCTACCCTTTGTTTTATTTGCCTTTTTATTTACCTCATTCCCTGTTGACATGACAGCAACCACTGGAAACTTATTAACTTCAACCTCTGTGACGCCCACAGTTGCAAGGAGACCAATCTCTGAAGGGCCCATATGGGTTCCTTTGGCCAAAACACACTCCCCTCTTTTAATGTCATGGCCGATGGGTCTGAAAGTCAAAGCAGAAACAGTTAGTACTAAGATTAACATTTTCTCAACTCAGAGGGAAACTTTAGTATCAGAGAGAGAAGATAATCAGGGAGAAAAGTTCAGAAATGAGTCAGGAGTCCAATAATGAAGAGAATCTAAAAATTCTAAGTTTTTAAAGTTATATCACACTATAAAAGAAAGAATTGCTAAACAAGAATGTTACATCTAAAAGTTACTTTATGTTTTTCTTTTATTGTATTATAGTTAAAATTACCAATTTCAAACTTTGATACAAGGCAAAGATTTATCTAGCAGCATGAACAGAGAGCTGGTAACTCTGTGATAAGGAGAATGATGTTAATAAGGCTGGAGTGATTTCCATGTAGACACCTTAGGTTGGTCCAGATCTGAGGCACCTTAGCCTCCTGCCATAATACTGGGAGAAGCATAGCTTTGTTGCAAAGGTATGCTGGGAAAATTGATGGAATTTGTGTAAACACTTTCTAATGTAACAAAATAATTGAAACTATGCGTAGCATTTATTGTAATAGAGAAACATCATCTTTACATGCAAGATACAGCAAATTATTACATTATTAAGGGTGGTTGAGGAGGGTGTTACTATCAGCTACTTGAATAAATGCCTGATCATCTCTATTCCAATTTCTGGATAATCTAGGGGTTGGGACAGAGTAATTTTGAATCAGCTACAGGTAGAGTTAACTGTGGGTACATGTATTTATAACTTTATTTTTTCTTAATGTTGAGTTTGATAATTTTATTCATCTTTACTATTTTAATTTTAAAGGCAGGATAGACATGGGATATAAAATTCAGAAAATTCATTTTGCTTAAGAAAAAATGGCTAATTGACATAGCTGTGGGTTTACAATAATCATGCTCTCCTGAGTTTACGATCATGTAGAAACACAGGGAGCTACCTACTCTGTACTGATGAACTTACCGGATATCTTGGCCTGGCCGAGCCTGCACCAGAATTCGCACTTCAAGTTCCTCAGTACCCTATAATTAGAGCACGCCATATAAGTTCAAATAACAGTCTAAGGAATTTCTGATCAATAAGAATGAGCTTATTCTTATCAGACAAGCCCAGAATATATACAAATACAAATATTTGAAAAAATAGTGTGAACTTTTAAAGAGACTCCTGAAAAATTAGGTTTGTTTGGTGCCAATAAATAACTAAATACTTAATCCAAATTTCATAGTTTAAAAAATACATCCTAATTTCAGTGAAGGGCTTACAGCATGGCAGTAGACTTCTGTAACTTCATGATAACCATCAATTTTACATTCATGGGCTGTAAATAATATTGTGATACTGGAATTGTGTCTTGTCATCTCATAGTTGGAGAATGTGTGTGTTCTGGATTTCAGTGCTTTGTAGGCTTCCCTGATGTTAATAAATCTCTGCTTTAACAGCTTTAAGGGAAGGCAATGAGATCTTTATGCCAAAAGTTGAATTTTATACACGAGGAAGATAATCTCCAGACCAAGGAAGGTGGTCAATTCTTAGCATGGTTGTATTTACTATTTACTTAATCTATAAGACTATACATGATTTTTATGCTCGGTGGTGGTGGCACATGCCTTTATTTTCAGCACTTGGGAGGCAGAGGCAAGTGGCTCTCTCTGAATTTGAGGCCAACATGGTCTATAGAGCAAGTTGTATAACAGTTAGGGCTACACAGAGAAATCCTATTGTGAAAAACAAAAATAAGTATATTATTTTTAATCTGTTTCAAAATATGATTCCTCAAGCTTCACAAAATGTGTATAACTACCAGTCATTAAAACTGTAAAATAAAACTTTCCTAGTTTTATTCATGACTAATAGTCTGTTTAAAAAAAAAACTATGTGCAGGAGTACTTTGCCTGCATGTATGTATATGTACCATATGTGGACCTGGTGCTCATGCTCAGAACATGGTGTTGGAAACTGGAGTTATAGACAATTGTGATTCACCATGTATGTGCTGGGAATCAAACTTGGGACCTCTGCAAGAACTAGAAGTACCTTTAATCAATTAACTATCTCCAGCCTATGCTGCTAATGTTTCTGTCAATTTGACCTAAGCCTGGGTGACCTGGGAAGAAAAAAACCTCAACTGATAAAATGCTTCCATCTACGGGCATGCTTGTGAAGTATTTTCTTGATTAATGATGATGTAGGAGAGTCCAGCTTACTGGGGGTGGTGCCATCCCGGACATGTAGAGCAAGCAGGCTGAGCAAGCCAGCATACAGTATTCTTCCATGGCCTCTGCTTCAGTTCCTGCCTCTAGGTTCCTGACTTGAGTGCTGCCCTAATACAGGACTGTGACCTCTAAGCTGAAATAAGCCCCTTTGCAAGTTACTTCTGCATGGTGTTTATCACAGCAATAGAAATAGCCAGGAGAAGCTCCAGTAGTCTGGTTTTATAGTTGCTATTAGTTTGAGAAAATGGCCTATTGAGATCCTGTAAATGTCCTTTATTTGAGACAATGCAGAGGGACTTGACAAAAGGTCAACATTTCCAGGCTTCTATTTGACAAAACAGTTTTTTTGAAAAGAAAATCAGTGGTGAAAGGGTCATTTGGTTCAAGAACTTGTTCAAATGTTCTCTGTTAAAGTTCTTTATATTAAATTCAAATTCTAAGAACATCTTCACACTTTATCAGAAGTTAGTCTCAGTGGCAAGAAGATATCTCAAATTAACATTAATATCACTATTCTTTTATTGTGAAATAATTCCTTGTTTGCATGTGAAAATTCTCATGTTAATAACAATAGCATAAAAGTCCCTTCATGCCAAAAGATTTTCATTCTTTAAGGCATTTTATGTACTGGAGCCCTACATATTACAGTGTAAGATCCCCAAACCAAAATAACAACATTCATACACCCCAAAGCCCAGGTTAATCTTATGAGCACTGAAGAATCTAACAATGCCACAGGAGCCTGGCAGTGACATACATCATCTGATTCCCTGATAAGTTCGGTATCTTCCACTTGCACTACTGCATCAGCACCGCAGGGGATTGGAGCACCTGTTGTAACCCGCATCACTTGTCCTGGCATCACTGTCTGAGTTGGCTGGAAGTACAAACATAAAAGAGAGTTGGTTATTTAGCTACTGCACAGGATAATCTTCAGGGGGATACATCATTTTTTAAAAAAACAATGAAAAGTCTTTTAGTTCTTTTGTAGACCAGGCTGGCCTCAAACTCACAGAGATTCTCCTGCTAATAATCTTTGAACTCCTAAACACTCCAGGTAAAATATTAAATTTATTATGTACTCCAGAATTTAAGTTCTACCAAGGCAAAAATTTAATTTTGATTGCCTCTGCAGATACACTATTGATCTTTAAGCTCTGCTCTGGCCCAGAAGACTGACCTCTACGGACTATTCTTGGTTTATCATGCACTTTTATAAGTACTTAAATAGACAAGAGTTAACTTAATGTGTAGAAGGATGATGCCAACAGTAGCCACCCTGGGGTCCTTATTTAAAATCCAAACAATGAGGTATGCTGTGGAACAATGGTCTTGTATCCTGTCACCTGTATTATTTTAATAAAATGCTGATTGGCCAGTAGCCAGACAGGAAGTATAGGCAGGGTGACCAGGCAAGAAGTAGTGGCAGGGTGACAAGAACAGGAGAATCCTGGGAAGAGGAAATGGTCAGCTTGCAGTTGTCATCCAGACACAGAGGAAGCAAGATGAGAATGCCTCGCTGATAAAAAGATACCAAGTCATGTGGATAAGACAGATAAGAATTATGGGTTAATCTAAGTTGTAAGAGTTAATAAAAAGCCTAAGCTAATAGGCCAATCAATTTATAATTAATGTAGGCCTCTGTTTGTTTCTTTGGGAGTGAATGGCTGCAGGACCGGGCGGGACAGAAACTTCTGTCAACAAAGGTACTTGTAGTTCTAGCCAGAAAGTCAAAATTTGTAGGAAGAAGAATCACTCAATCATAGGGCTAGAGAATGGCTATAATGTATGCCTGTGGAGGATGTAACAAAATTATTCATTGTACCATATATTGATAGATGTAGGTTCTTTAAGTAATTTTTACTGTTGTTGTGGTTCACACGGGACCTTTCTTTTATCCCTTGGATAGTCTTCTGACTAATACTTAAGACTTCCACAATGCTGATACTGGATATATAGAATTGAATGCTCAAAGTCTGTGAAATCTGTAGTGTCTTTCAGGCTTCTGAATCTCACCTGTTCACCAGCTTGGGATTCCCCAATGATGAAACGATCTCCTGGACCATCAGCAGCTGTGAGATGGAACAGAGCCAAGAATAAATATCAGCATGGACTTAGAGCAAGGAAGAGTATTGAGATTCTAAGACTTCATTAAAATTTGTTCAGGAAAGTTGAATTATTTCTGATTTCCTAAAGTAGACAACGGCCTTTGTATTACTACTTTGATCTTTGGTATCCAATAGATTCCAAGCATCAGCAGAAGTGGATCTATTTGCATGCTTTCTTGGTATCACTGGAGATGGTCTTCATATGATGCCATCCTTTCCATACTTGTGCTTTCTAACATGATGTTTATTTGGCTTATCTTTCCAAATGATATGACCTTACCCATGTACATAATAATAAGTACACATTCATGGCTATATAAACACATCACTTTGCACATTCAAACTGCTCCAATTTCTTGTGACTTTTGTAACTTCTTAACAATTTCTTATTTACTTAATAAAATAAGAAAATCAATGGATTAGAAATAATGCTATGAATGAGCTGGAATAAATAAGCTTACTGCATCATATTTTCTCTTTAGTACTTCAGTGCAGGAACTAGGGACTTGCCATACCAGGCAAGTGCTCTAATACTGAGTTACACTCCTACTTTTGGCTACTTAACTTTATTTTTAGGAATGTACAGTATTTATGTAATTTTTTTTGAGACAAGATCTGGCCCTAGATGGATTGGGATGTGCTATGCAGATCAGGCTGGGTTTGAATTTGAGGCAATTCTCCTACATCTGCTTTCTACTTTATGAGATTATAGACATGTACCACATGTAGGCAAAATTGCTTAAAAAATGGTTTGAGCATGAATGTGCATTTTTGTGTTTTCAAATGTAAGCACATGTGTGCCACAGTACAAATGTGGATGTCAGAGAATAACCTTTCTTAGTCGCTTATTTAAGACAGTGTTTCTGTCATTTTCTGGCCATATATGGTGTACCAGTTGATCCTTGAATTTCTCTTTCTTCCTCCCATCCCCCTGTAGAAGCTTTGGGATAAGAGACACTCATGCATGATTCTTGAGTCCTTAGCTCAGGTTCACAAGCACGTTTACCTACTGAACTTTTCCCCCAGCTCTTAAAGTCACTTCTTCTTAAATTGAAAAAAGAAATCCAGAATTGGAACAAAAACGAAGAAACATACTTTTTAGCTGTGTGGTGGTAGCACACACCTTTAGTTCTAGTACTCAGGAGGCAGAGGCAGGCAGATCTCTGGGTTCTAGGGCAACCTAGTTTACAGAGTGGGTTCCAGAGCAGTCAGGGCTATACAGAGAAAATCTGTCTCAAAAAAACCAAACCAAACCAAATCAAGCAAGAAAGCAAACAAACAACTTTTTTTTTTTTGTTTAGTCTTATCCATTGTCTGATACATACAATTAGGTAATGATTGGGAAAAAAATTCCTAAAGAATACCATATTTTCCTGATATATTATTATTTGGGTGTCAGATCAATACTCCTGGCAATGCAAGGTCTATCTAATGAGTTTTATGATCATTACTGTTACTTCCACGTCATTGATAAAACTAGGGGGTTTGAGGCCTATACGTTAAAAAGATAACATAGTATATATATTATATATGAATATTTAATTATATTTGCAATAACAGTAACAACTAAACATCTTATATTTTAAAGGACAAATATGGACTCATTTTATTCTTTCCTTCCTTCATTTTGCTTATCCTCTATAGGAACTCACTCTGTAGTAGAGGGTGGCTGTAATCCAGCATGGAGCTCACAGTCCTTGGACTTGTAATGATCTCACCTCCACCTACAGAATCCTAGGATCACAGTCAAAATACTGTTTATGAGTCACTTTTATTCACAGTTGACTTGTTACTTTGATGTAGAGAGGGACAAAAGTTAACACTGGATCCCTTTTATGTTGTGTCTTGTCCTTTATAAATAGTATCTCAGTGAATAATCGAAGTTTTATATTTTTTGGAAACCTATGATATTAAATTAGAAAGGTTTTGCTGAAATGCTGTTTATATGATGTCACTTGTATAGGTTCATTAAAGAAAAAAAAACTTTTAACACCAGGAAATTTGAAGTCAAATGAATAGAACTACAAAAAAAAAATCATCCTGAGTGAGATAACTCAGATTGAAAAAGACAAACATGGTATGAACCCACTAGCTGTAAATTTATATATATATATAATATATTTATATATAATTATAAATATAATATAATATATTGCTATATATAAAATATATATTGTTATAAATATATTATATATATTATATGTTATATATAAAATATATATTGTTATAAAAAAGGTGTGTATATATATATATATATATATATATATATATACACACCTTTTTTTTTTTGCTAGATCCACAGACCCAGAGAGCTAAGTAACAAAGAGGGTTCATGGGTGGACACCCATATCTCCCTGGGTAGGGGAAAAAGAGATTTTGTGAGTGGACTGAGGGCGGGTAAGGATGGAAACTTGTAGGGAAGATTGAGGGGGAGAGTGTACTGAAAGAAACTACTGGAAAGGGGAGGCATTTTTGGGGCAGGTAGAGCTTGGCAGAAGGGAATCTACAAGGATGACCCCAGCTAAGATTCCTAATAAGAGCAGATATATAGCCTGAACTGGACATCTGCAACCAGGCAAGTCTTCAAGTGGAGGGAATGGGAAATCAACTCAGCCACATAACCTTTGACTTAAAATTGTTCCTGCCTAAAAGATATGCTGGGGTAAGAAAGGCATAGCGATTGAGGGAGTGGCCAGCCAATGACTGGTCTAACCTAAATCCTATACCAACCCTTATATTGCCTGAAGTTCCAGGACCCACAGACTAGATGACCCAGAGACCTAGAATAAAACCAAACATGACTGAAGGGGAAAATATTAATGTAATCATGCCTAACATTATTCTGCTACACTCATAGATTGGTGCCTAGCCCAGTTATCATCAGAGAGGCTTCATTCAGCAACTGATGGAAACATATGCAGACCTACAGCCAAACATAAGGTGGAGTTCAGGGAATTCTGCAGACTAGAGGAAGGAAGAATTGTAGGAGCCGGAGGGGGTCAAGGACACCACAGAATCAACTAACCTGGGCTCACAGGGGCTCACAGAGTCTGAACCAACAACCAGGAAGTCTGCACGGGACTGACTTTGGCACTCTGTATAAATGTTACAGTTATGTGGCATGTCCTTTTGTGGGACTCCTAACAGTTGGAACAATGGTTTTCTCTGACTCTAACTAGTTTTTGAGACCCTATTCCTCATACTGTGTCACTTTGTCCAGCCTTAATATATGGGGAGGCGCTTAGTCTTACTGCAACTTGATATGTCATGTTTTGTTGATACTCATGAGAGACCTGTCCTTTCCTAAATAGACCAGAGGAAGAGTGGATTGTGGGACTGCGGTTAGAGAGAAAGGACTCAGAGAAGAGGAGAGAAGGGAAACTGCATCCAGGATGTAAAATGAATAAATAAAAAATAATATGCATATCAAAGACCCTTTTAAACAACTTAAAACACAGGCAAAAACCATCACTTTAGGAAACATCAACATTTTACTAATGTTTAATACATTAAACAATTTATTTTTGCAGTATTTTAAAGCAAATAACTTTTTAGTGAAAAATTGATGAATCAATTATATTTTAAAATTCCAGACTGACAAATGTGAAAAAGCTTGTTTAATTTTAATTATTTCATAAATAATCATCAGGTTGTTTCCTCTACAGCAATCTAGATTTCTAATTCTCTTTCTTTTCTTTTTATTTCCTTCTTTCACATGAGTGAATCAGCATGGTTTGATGTAGTAGAGCAGAGCTGAATGAGAATCATGACTCTGCCTACTATTAGATTCAGGACTTTTAGCGAAACTAGTCAGCCTCTAACCTTGCTAGCAAATGACATATGCATGCCCTTTAAAGATAGTCACCCCTTTTAGTCTTTCAGTAAATTTCTACCAAGTGTCTTCTATTCTTTAAGTATCAAATTAAATGTTGAGGACAGTGTAGAGAGTAAAATGACATTATTTCCATTTTAATGTTGTGCCAAACTGTTCCAACTTTATTTCAAACTCTGGATCCAAAGTGGCAATGGAATATAATATCAACTTGTAAACATTCTTTTAATGGAAAAGGGCAGAAAATATTAATTCACAGATCTAGCGCAGGGGTATGTGACTGCATTCCCAGCTGCTTCAGAGGCCATTTGTTTGTCAAAATTCAAGACCAGTCTAGGTAAAATGGTGAGATACCTATCTTAAAATAAATACCCTTCCCTGTAAAAGTAGCGGCAGAACATTTACCTTGTATGTCCAAGGACCTACTCTCATGATCCAGCACTTCAACAGGTATGCACTTATCATGCATAATTTCAGTTTCATAATTTTTTTCCATCTACCTGTGCGTACAGTCATATGTTCTATACAGAGTCTATGTGTATATAACATTGGCTTATGATGCATAATTTATTTAATGTATTTATTCTCAAGCACAAACGTGGCCAAAAAATAAAACCCAAAAGCATTTGATATAGTAGAAGTAGATATTAACAAAATAATCACATTAATGAATATATAAGCAAGATTACAAAAATCTCTTTAAAGATTATTTTTGGGGGATGTGGGGCAGGCTCTAGCTATGTAGCTCAGGTTAGCCTTAAAACACAATTATCCTGTCTTATTCTCTGCTGAACTTATGGACATATACCACCACATATCGCTAGAAACATGAGTTTCATGAGTATACAATGAAAACTCCTGAGGTAGTCAGGAGGGTCAGGAAAACATACCCAGACAAAAAGATTTATAATTTGAGTTATGAAGGATAAGTGACAACTAAGTAGGTAGAGGTAGAGGTGTGTGTGTGTGTGTGTGTGTGTGTGTGTGTGTGTGCGCGCGTGAGACACACACACACACACACACACACAGAGAGAGAGAGAGAGAGAGAGAGAGAGAGAGAGAGAGAGAGAGAGAATATTGGTTTAAATGTGCAAAGGTCTTGGCATTCGTTTAACTATGTAAAGATGTGTTGCATTTGTTTAATTATATAAAGATGTGTTGCTGTTTTATCTTGCCTGCCTAAGGTACCTAACTGGTCTAATGAAAAGCTGAATGGTCAATAGCAAGGGAGGAGATATGGGTGGGACTTTCAGGCAGGGAAAGTAATTAGGGGGAAGAATTTAGGCTTGGGAGAAGAGAAGAAAGAAAAAGAGCTGGGCGGTGGTGGCGCATGTCTTTCAATCCCAGCACTCGGGAGGCAGAGGCAGGAGGATCTCTGAGTTCAAGACCTTAAGACCAGCCTACAAGAGGTCTACAAGAGCTAGTTCTAGGACAGGTTTCAAAGTTACAGAGAAAGCCTGTCTCAACCCCCCTAACCAAAAAAACCAAAAAAAGAAAAAGAGATGCCAGGGGCCTCCCAGTGAGACAAGGAGGAGGCAGGAAAGTAGGACATACAGAATGAAAGAAAGGTTAAAAAGTCCCAAGGCAAAACATAGATGAATAGAAACTGGTTAAATTAGGTTAAAAGAGTAGTAGGACAAACCTAGGCTAAGGCCAAGATTCATAGTTACTAATAATTACTCATGCCTTTATTTGGGAGCTGGTTGGTGGCACATGTGATGAAGTGGAAATGCTCCATTATATGTGCAAAGGTCTCTTGCTCATGTGTTCCTTATATACCTCAGAGTATATATTCTTCACCCATTTCTCCATTATAGCCCGAAATAACTTTTAAGTACAATCTCAAAATCTATTTTTAGTTATTAGTTTACTTGTTCCAGAAAAATTTCCAGTGTTCACCATACAAAAGGTAAAAATGTTCACTATGTAAACTATTCTAAGTGTTCAATAACTGAATGTGTGCTCCTTAACAACCTTTTTAGAAAGATCATTTCATAAATGAACAGATAAACATTTTCTAGCAGCAAGTTCCATATTTGTCATTCTATTTATTTTCTCCTGGTCCACGCATACTTTCTTCAAAATCTGAATCAATATTCATGTAACAAGAATGCCTAGAAAGATTGCTCTGATTAATTCTGTATAATTTACTTTATATCACTCTGTCCTGTACTGATACTCAATAAATATCCATTAAAAGAATAAAGAAATTAATTTGGAGTTCTAATAATACTTAGGAGGGAAGTTTATAAATGGAATTGTACTTATTACTATTATACTTTAGAAATACCCTTAAGTAACTCCATAAATGTATATATCTGGTTTCTTTATCTCCTTAGAAGTAGGGGGGTCAATTCCTTTATTTATTTTATTTATTCTTGATATTACTCCTCATGTATATATGTATGTGTGCATGTGTTATGTAAGTGCACATGCACATGTATGCTCTTAGTGTGGAGGCCTGAGGTTGATTTTGGAGTCTTTCTCAATTGCTCCCAGACCTTGTCTATATGGCTGGTCTGGAACTCCCTTACGTTGGGGCCCTCTGTCTTCACTTTCCAAGAGCAGGAATTGCAGGTGAGCTGCCATACCATTGAGCATCTGTGAGTTCTGGGATCTGAACTCTAGTCCTCATGCTTTCATGGAAGGTTCTTTAACCACTGAGCAATCTCTTTCAAGTCCTATTTCATTTTGGAATAAAGTACATGTGCCAAAAAGTTACTTATGCTTTACTGATTTCAGAGACAGTCTAATCTAGTGATAAATATTAAAGATAGATTTTTTGGGACTCTATTAGTGAAAATTAAAACACAATGCCAACCATCAACACTTTATTTATACAGATGTAAGAATAACAATTCAGATAAATGTTTACCCTGCCTTTTCTTCTTTCTTCCTTCCTTTCTTTCTTTTTGGTATTTTGGAGATGTGGTATTTTCTGTAGCTCATACTGGCCTTGTACTAATGATCTACTTCCTTCAGCCTCCCAAGTGCTGGAATTAGAGGCATGTACCCCTGTGTCCAGCTCTGACTGTCATTCTTTTGTCAGAGATAATCTGGGAAAGTATGTTTACAATGATGATGATGATGATGATGATGATGATAGTAATATGAAACATCCAGGAAACAATTTTTAAGTGTTCTTATTTTGGTATGTTCTGTACTTTACCAAGGCTTTCTACAATCTGTTAAGAGTAATGTTACAGTTTTTGCCATTTCACAGATAAGAAAACAGGATAAAAAGCTTTTGAGTAATTACGCAAAGTCATATAGAGGAAGGCAGTCCTGGAACTTAGATCTCCTGAACTCTGTTTGAAGTCCATATACATAGCTTTAACCACTTTTGATGATGACTCTAATGTAAGAGATAGCACTGGAACATGACAGAGTTTAGCAACTGTATTTAATTAAAAGAAAACTTAGTTTAATGAACAGAAGAAACAAAAACAGAATTCATAACTTGTCATTTATAAAAATTTGACTGGTTGTGTCTACATGCAATTCTATGAGGGAAATATGAATTTTAAGTTAGCTTTTTTGTTGTAGTTTACCTATTTACTATAGGCTGTAGTTTTTCATAAGCAATACTAAATGCTGTGTTTTATTCTTTAAATATGAATATTAGCTATTCAAATAACAACGTAAAGACTGCTAGAAGTATTTTAAAAATAATTTCAAGCTATAACATATTCGAAACTAATAGACATACACTTAATACATTCATTTAGAATACAAAAACCTTCTAATTCAACTGAATGCATTGTCACAAAGGACATTTATTTCTAAATATTTTTATTATGTTATAGAGAAACACCATATGGAATTTCTGAAATTGTATATTTATCTGTATGGGGTGTGTCTACTTTTAGAAAAATTTAGATAATACTGATGCTGTGTAATGCTGATTTTTCCATTTACTTCATGGTTGTCAAAATAGTCATATAAAATAACCTCATCCAAAAATAATAATTTCAAAACTTCTGAGAATTATTGGAATACTGATTTATTGTCCTTTAATCTGAAAAAACATGTACGTAAAAGGTAAAAGATTTACATGACCTGAAGATCAAATGTGATATCTTTATCAAATCCCTCCCTTCAGGGCTCAGGCAACTCTGCAGAAAATGTGGCAGAAAGATTATAAGAGCCAGAGAGGATGAACATCTCCAGACACAACAGGGTCGATGCACATATAAACTCACAGGGAATGCACAAAACTTATACTAGTTCAAATCAGACAGAACGCCAGCACACAAGAAAGTAAACATAAGCCAAGAAGATAATTGCAATTATACCCACTGACAAAGGGAGTATCAGCTTTCTCCAGTGGAGTCTTACTGGCTATGCCCACTATACTACAGCAAAGGCCCAATGCCCAGAGTAGTTGGCCAATGCACAAAAAACTCAATGGCTTCTTGGTGGCCTTTTGTTTCATCATTTGTGTCTTATTAGTCTTTTTTTTTTGTTGTTGTTTTTTGAGCATTTTTTTTTTTTGAGAAAAAGAACACAAGTTGGGTAGTTAGAGAGGTGGGGAAGAACTGGGAAGAGTGAGGGGTGGAGAAAACATGATTAAAATACATTGTATGGAAAAAATTAAATACAAAATAAAAAGAACTGTATTTCAAATAACCCTGAAAATCTGGGAAATATTTTTAGACTATTTTTTATTTGAGTTCATAACCAATAACAAAAAAATAAATGTTTTGGGTTTTTTTTTTCTTTTTTTTCTTGAGATAGGGTTTCTCTGTGTAACATTCCTGGCTGTTCTGAAACTTAGACCAGGTCTGTCTTGAAATCACAAGGACCCACCTGCTGTTGCCTCCCAAGTACTGGGATTAAAGATGTATGCCACCACTGCCCGGCTAATGTATTGTTTTTTGAAAATCTCTAAGAAGATAGATGTTAGGTATTTTCATTACATTATGTGAGATAATTCACATGCTAGCTATCTCAATGGAATCATCACAGTGTATGTGTATTGTAAAATACCATATTATGCACAGAAAAACTAAAAAAAAATCAAATCAGAATTTTAAAGCAATTTAGCTACATTTTTTTTTTATCCTGGGTTATTAGATCAGATTTTCGGCAGGCAACTGTTATTTAGCATTTGTTTTTAAGTTTTAGACAATTTTAGGCAACTCTGACGGTGTGAGCTGTTATTACCATCTGAGGTTCTGGAGCTCTGACTCTGAACTATGGCTTTTTCCAGAGAGAACTAGAGGTTACAGTCATACCTGCATTACGTCACCCTTTACTGATGTTTAAGTTTGAAGCAAGGGAACAGACTTTCACATTTAAACCCTGTGTTTAATCAGTTCATTTTTCCTGAGACCATTTAGATGTTTTCAACTAGAAAATATGAAAGAAATCCAGCATTAGGCTGTCTGCTTTCTTGTATGTGAAGAGGCTAAAAGTATAAGCTATAATAACAGTATGTTTTGTTTTTGTGGTTTCGGAGAACCTAGGGCCTTGTACATGCTAGGCAGTTTCTCTGAGCCACATCCCTAGACAAGTAAAGGTGTTTTTAATTTGATATCTATGTATATATTTGTAATGAATAATTTTCATAGGACTATATAATACTTTGACTACAGAGCACTAATCAAGATTGTTTCACAAATATTCAGGTACAGATTAGCAAGTTTACCGGTGAGTGACAATTAATTGAGAATAGATATAAAAGTAATCAGGTATGTGGATTATGACAAAAATGTGGAAAAATATGAGTCTGAAGACACTTAAGAAAACTAACATATTTACCTCGAACAGCATAGCCATCCTTTACTGATGCTGGGAATGGGGGTAGGTTGTCTTTTGCATATACATCTTGAGCAAGGACTCGCCCCATTCCATCTGGAAGAAAAGAAGAAATACAAATAATGGAGTTAGTGGGTAAGCAATCAGTCATACACAGACAGCACAGCGCTTGTGTCATATCTTGTGAATGGGCTCAGCCAGACCTTTGGATTGCCATCCCAAGGAACAGCAGACAGAAAGAACTGATGCATCCTAGTGTCTAAGAATCACATATGGTCAACTTCTAGTGATGGTTACAGCAATTATCAAAATGCAAATTGCTATATACAGTCAGAAAAGATGTATTCAGAAGATACATCATTAACTCTCTGGGAACTCAAATATGATATTCTTCAAAAAGGAAAATCAATTTAAACATTTTCATATTCACTGGCCCAGAAATTTCCTTTCTAGTATTGTATCTTAAGAATTAAATTTATCTTCATGTAGATCTTTATTTCAGAATTGCTTATATTAGTAAATATAGAAAGAAACCAAAAGATCAATAATATATTTAAATAAACAGTGACATTATTCTTAAGATAAAATATGTGATTAAAGTAAAATTTATAATGAATATTCATGGACAAATGAAAAATTATTTAAAAGATATATTTTAAAACATGTAAAATGGTACATTCACTATATAATTTTAACTACATTAACACACAAATATATATATATGATCTACATGAAAACATAAAGGTTGTTACTTTAAAATGTTAGTTATGTCTTTTAGTTACTGTTACAGTTTTTTTTTTTTTACAACAGTTCCAAGTTGTAGCTTTAATACAATAAACATGCCACTCTTACAAGCATAAGCTATCTTTTCTGTTCTGAAAGGATAAAGGTAAGAAAAGTAAGGAGTTTCCCAATCACTTCATTTGAATGCTAACCTTTGGTTTTGGCTTCATTAACTCAAGTGATTGAATGACAAGAAGTGTATTAATAATACATGGTGTAATTCAAATGGATTCATGAGTAACTCCCTTTTTTTAAATTTTTTTGAGACAGGATTTCTCTGTGTCCTGGAACTTTCTCTGTAGACCAGGCTGGCCTCAAACTCAGAAATCCACCTGCCTTTGCCTCTCAACTGGAGTGCTGGGATTAAAGGCATGCACTGCCACTGCCTGGCTCCCTAAATTCTTTAGTGAGAATAAAATCAAGATGAGTAACAGGATTTGATTGATACAGACATTCTCATACTTTATAACATCCATTGTTTCCACTGGGGTTTGACTTTAGCAATGAGAGCCCAGAAGTACAGAGATTTTTTTTTTAACTTTTTAACTCTAATTCATAGAGATACTAGCTCTTACTATAGATCATTGAACCTTGACTTTGAAGGGAGAAATGGGTAGATTTTAGCTTCATATATGTCCAGGAGTTGAATCTCTTCTGGATATATACTTTCCAAGACAAGGATAAATGGTGAGATCATAGGTGAATTCTATTCACACATACTTTTTTCTTTTGGAGGTAGGGATGGGGAGTAGGAAGGTACAGTGTCTTCCCATGTAGCCCAGACTGCACTTGAACTCATTTTCCCCTGCTTCATCTCTGAATGGTAGGACTATATATGCATGAGTCACCAAGCCTTGCTATAATGTCAGCTCCTAAATGAACCAGAAGATATGGGTAGTCATTAGTATTGAGCCAGGATCATAATTAACCTCCAGAAGTGGCTCCTTATAATCTATATCAATTTATATACTAAGAGAATGTCTTTGTTGGGATCTTATATATTAATTAACAATGATCAATAAGCAAAGTTATCACAAGGATTGCATTTTTTTGGAAGCTGGCCATTAGTAGGTCCATTGGTAGCTAATAAATGTTTATTAACATTTTTAAGTTAATAAGTAGTATCATGCACTAATTATCACTTAATCCTCCCCTAATCCAATAATATGCATTGGTCAAAGTACAGAGAATAAGTATCTGTACTCAACCATAAATGCGACATCTATATCATAACTCCTCCTCATAAAGCTCAGGGATATCATGGAAGAGGAGGCGAAACAAAGAGCCAGAGGCTGGAAAGCTTCAAGCAGATTGTTTTCTGGACACAACAAGGGCGCTGACACAACTACAGCACTTAAGGCCTCACAGCAGCTGTGGTAGCATGCACAGACATGCACAAGATGAAGCCAGTCAACATTCCAGCATGGAACGCGTTGGGGTTCCCAAGCCCCTACCCACAGTCCTAGAAGTCAGGGACTTAGCTCTTATTAGGCTGTTTGAAAGACTTGATACAGACATCTGCAGATCTCACAATGACTCAAAACATAAGTGAATGAATTAGCACATGCTCTAACAATATGCTTTCTGGGATAAGCTCACTTGCGCTGGAAGAAAACAAAGGCAGGGTGACAGGAAACTCATATCTGGTTTAATTTCTCACCTGATAACTGAATAACAAATATCTTAGTTACTCGAATACTAGTGTTTTATTTTTTACACATTTTTAAGGATTCACTTATTTTACTTTATGTTCATGAAAACTTTGCTTTGTACCATGTACATGTCTATTGGTTCCCCCGGAACTGAGGACATGGATTGCTATGAGCCACCACCTGGATGATGGGAATCCAAACCCAGTCCTCTGTTGGTCACAACTTCAAACAACTTCAGCAAAGTAGTAAAATACAAAACAATCGACATTAAAAATAGTTTTTCTATACCAATAATCATCTTCCTGAGAAGTATATCAAGAAAATTGTTTATACTTTAGCATAAAATTCCTAGAAATAAAACTATCCAAGACTTGGAAGGCCTCTACAAGGAAAAACTTAAAACAGTGAACATAGAAACTGAAAAGACATGAGAAGATGGGAAGACCTCTCAGCTCAGGACTAGAAAATGACTGACTGTATTGCAGATTCAGTGCAGTCCCCATCTTTATCACAATGTTATTTTTAATGAAAACAGAAAAAACAACTCTAAAATTCATATAAAATTACACACCCAAATCAACCCCCTAAAACAAACAAACAAACAAACAAACCCCAGAGAAAACCAAAGCCACCACCACTGCCACTACAACAAACCCCAATAGACAAAGCATGTTAGGCAAGAACAGTGCTGGAGGATTCACAATACCTGATTCCAAATTATACTATGGAGCCATGTTGTAAAACCAGTATTGTACTGGTGCAAATATAGATAAACAACTGGTGGAACAGAACAAAGAGCCCAAAAATAAACTTACTAACAACTATAGTCATCTTCCCTCCCCCTTTCATACAAAGTTGCCAAAAATATATAGTGGAGAAGAAGGCAGCTTCTTCATGTAAATGGTACTGGGAAAACTGGATATCCATATTTAGAATAACAAAATTAGATGGTTCTCTTTCACCCTGTCTAAAAATCAATTCAAAATAGATCAATTTTATGACCTTAATGAAAGCCTGGAACCTGAAGATAAAAGGCATAGGCAAAGACTTTTGAGTAAAACTCCAAATTTAGAAATAAGAGAAATAAATAATTCATAAATGGGACTGTATACAATTATTTTATTTTTATTTCTGTGAATGCATGTGAATTAGTGTGAGGGTATGCCACCTGTGCCCAGGTGTCTGTTTAGGCCTGCAGAGGGCACTGGATTCTCGGGAACTGTAGTTACAGGAGGTTGTGAGCTGCCTGATATGTGTCCTGTGAATTAAATTTGGATTCTCTGGAAGAGCAGCAAACTCTCTTAGCTGCTAAATAATTTTTCTTGTCTTGGGGCTGAAGAAATTAAAAATCTGGAAAAGAAAGGAAACATCAGCAGACTAATGAGATGGTCTACATAATGGAAGCAAATCTTCCTCAGCTATATAGATGACATCAGATCAATGCATAGAATACACAAAGAACCAAAAATATTAAATACCAAAAGAAACAATTCATCAATAAATGGGCAAAAGAAATAAACAGAAAATTAAAACTACTCAGAGGTCCTATGTCACCTCAGTCAGAATGGTCATCCCCAGGAATAAATGGAACAAATGTTGGTAAGGAGGGTGGAAAGTGATGTGGTAACCACGGAAATCACCATCTTCCTTAAAATCTAACATGTGATCCGGCTTTGTTACTCTGTTACTGAGGTGAGCACATCAGCGGGGATGCTTGCATATCAGTTCACTGCAGCACTATTACAGTAGCCTAATGTAGAACCAGTTTAGATGTTCATTAACAGATAAAAATATAAAGAAAATATGGTATGTAAACAAAATGGAGTTTTATTAAGCTGTAAAAAAGAAATTACATCATTTTCAGATACTGACTGGTAATATGTAAATTTTGGAGGTTAAGAACATCACAGTTATTTTCAGGTGAGATTATATACATTTATAGATCACAGACATAAAAGACAGTATTCTTCTCTTCCATGCAGGTTTGTTTTCTATAATGAGTTGTTCATCATCAGTGGTAGCTTAAAACATCAAATGGAAATTAGAAAAGTAACAAAAGTAACTCCAAAGTTTAACATTGTATGCTATTCTGAGTACCACGATGACATTTCCAACTTACTTTGTCCTGCCTAGGACATGAACCACAAGTTTGTTATTTTTTTTTTCTGAATGTTCATGATGCTATATCAATAATGGAGGAATGCAGGAAGGAGAATAAAGATAATGGATGTATTAGGATGCAGAAACCTAAAAATACAGTGAGCTGTACACATTTTAGAGGTATAGTGTGGTTCATGGACTATAATAATAAATGCATCTAAAGGAAAAATTTCAGTTGACTGCATTTATAGAAAAAAAGAAAAAGAAAAAGTTACAAGCAAAGACCAGACAAACCACCATGCAAGGAGTTGTTTGTAAGTAGGTAGCATTCACTGTTATAAGTACTGTTATAAGTGAAAACTGAATATACTGGCAGTCCAGACTTAGATATATGTGTTTCTCCTTTAGTGTGCCCAGGGTCCTTTGAAAATGAAAGCTTTAGTTACCATGATCTTTATAGTCAATGTGGCATTGTGGTTCAAACTTCTGAGGTTCTAATTGTCACTTCAGAATCCAGACCATACTGTTGTAATTCTGACTTTAGTTGGTCTGATGTTTGGTATCCTGTTCCAAGCAGGTTCACTGATACGAAGGGATGACTAAGAGTTTTACTTCAATTGATTGCCTTGGTGCTTAGTGTACAATCCTATCCTTGGTCTTGATGGCACAGTCAAAACAAGACCACTTTAGTGCCCCATTTGACTATTGACACCAAATTTTACCAGTTCCCACTGCTGAGGATCAAGCAGATATATTTCCAGATAACAAAATATCCCAATAGACTCAGAAGGGGAAGTCAAAATGAAAAGACAAATACAATCCAACGGACGTGCAAAACACAATAAAGAAACACAAAGATTATAACACAGTGACAACACAGTGACCACCCATGGCCGTCTACAACTGGCCAATTCTCCTGTGAGTACCCAGAACTACAGAGATAACTGCAAAACCTGAGAAAGAAATCAGAGTCTTACTTTTTAAAAGAATTAATGATCATGCAGAATATTGAAACAAACCAATGCATTGATTAAGGGAATCTTCAAAACCTTGAAAGAACATTATTCAAAGTAAATGCACAATAAAATGGAAGCAAAATTCAGCAAACCCTCAACTCATATGGAAAAGGAACTATAAGCAGATAGAAAACACAGACAAGCAGATTTTGTTAATATTTATACTGATAAAGTAGACTTTAAACCAAGACTAATTAGAAGAGACTCAAAATGAGCCCCTAATTTCATAAAACAAACACTGTATGGTATAAAAGACCACACAGGTTCTGATACAATAGCAGGGGTTTTCAATTCTCTATTCTCATATTTAGATAGGTCTTCTGAACTAAAGCAAAGAAACTTCAGAGCTAAAATATATTATGGATTAACTAGACTTGATAACAGAAAATTCAAACCAACAGACAGGGAATACACATTTTTCTCAGTAGCACTGGGAATGGTGTCTAAAATCAGTCATATAATAGCACACAAATCAAGTTTCAACAACAACATCATCATCATAATAGAATAAAATTTGAAATCAACAATAACAAAAACTATAGATATCACAAGATTCTTGGAGTATAATACATATTTGAGTGAACAGTAGGTCACCTAGAATATCAGAGAGGAAATTAAAAAAATCCGAAAGGAATGATAATGAAAACAAAACCTATCAGATTTGTTAAGGAGGGAAGCTCGCCAGGGTAGGAGGAAGAGTAACTGGAAAGCATTTTATACATCCACAAAATGGTCAAAGAACAAAATTTACTACTAAAAGAAATGAATCGGTCAGGTAGACAATGTCATTGTTTAAGAAAGAGAAATTCTATGTAGGGAGTTTTAAAAACATAATCTCTGAACAGATTATTCTCATCAAACTGGAGAGCAGACTGGAGCGCTTGTGAACTGGAAGGAACTTCTTATAAGAATCCACAAAGATGCTGGGCTGTGGTGGTGTGCGCCTTTAATAGCAGCACCTGGGAGGCAGAGGCAGGCAAATCTGCTGTAAGTTCTAGGACAGCCAAGAGATGTTAAAAAGAGAAACCCTGTCTTCAAACAAACAAACAAACAAACAAACAAACAAAAAACCAAAACCAAAAAATCAGAAAGAATAATCCACAAAGTTAGTAAAGACCAACAAACAAACAAACAAAAACAAAAAACCCCAACAAACAAACAAAAACAGTGGCAGTGGGATGGAGATCAGGAATGTATTCAAGAGGCTGTAGAAGAAAAAGTATTCCTAGAGAGGTGGGAAAGATAAAATCTGTCATGAAACCTCATAAGAAGAGATATGTATGAATATAATGTTAGAATTTGTAGCTTAAGTAAGATGTGGGCAGTAACAACAGAGAACTAACTCAGTTATAGATGGCACTCAAATTACTAAACTACATAAAATCTTACGAAATAAATATATAAAATGTGAAAAGGGGCAAACAATGCTTGCAAATGAATTGACAAAAGAAGGCAAGCTTACAAAAGAGCCAATGAGAGGAGTAGCTCTGCTGACTTCACTCTGCTCTGCCCTCGATGACGAGTCAACTCTCCTTACATATGACTTTATACAGCACCCTTCTTAATAGAGACTTAGTCTTCTATACTTGCTGAAGACACTGAGTAACACCTAACTAAAATGTCTAGGTAAAATTATAATACTCTTGGGTATTAAAAATGATTATGTCTGATCCATTATCTCTGAAACACTCGACACTCAGGCAGGTTGTTAACTGAGGCTGACCTATCCGCCTTGGTGAACAAAGGAAGAGGAGAAACCGCATGAGGGAAAGTACTTTTCTCCTGGTGAAAAACAAAATGGTCACTTCCAAATCTTTTTCCTGAGATTTCTGTGTAAATGTGAATTGGAACACATAATTGGATTTCTCTAAGAAACCAATGTTAAGGTAAAGGCCTTTGAAATTACAAGAAAGTAGGATCGATTAATTAATTCTTGTTATAAATGTATTAAAATTTCTAATAATTTAAATTTACATTTGTATTTTCTAAATGTATCTTGGTTCATGTTGATATCAATAAATAACTGAATATTCTGTATTTAACAGTAAATAATTTCATTAATGCTGATTTCTGAATTACATGATTTCTGACAATTTCTTTACCCAAGTGAATTTCCTAACTTTCATTTCCTTTACCAGAGAGTAAAACAAAAACAACAGAAAATGTTTAAGCCTAAAAGAATGTGAGTAAAAGGTGTAGGATAAGTGGAAGCTGCTTAAACTCTATTTTTGTCTGAAGAGGACCAGGACAAAGGAGCTTACACATGGCACCTACTATTTCACTAATTTCAGGTCTTTAATATCATCTGTTATGCCAGCTACCATTATTAAAGATATTTTAATGTTGGACCAGGAGAACTATTATGTAACAAAGTCTTAATACCTTACTCCAATTCCTTTTCTGTTCTTGAGTCTGAGTTTTCAGGCAGAAAAATTAGGATGTTGTATAACTATTCTCTAATGTTCATTGCAGTTTAAATAAGCCAGTTTTAAGGGTTTATGAATAAAATTCTTTACTTAGACAATTATTTCTATGTGTGAATGTGCATGTATGTCTGGAGGCATACATGTTTTTTGACACAGGGTTGCTCATAAGAACCCCAAGTTCACCAAATGGGCTAAAGTGGATGGCAAGTGAGCCTTAGGGGAGTGTCTGCATCTCCTCAACACATGGTTTACAAGCACACACTAACATGCTTGGCTTTTTACGTGAGTCTTGGGAATTGAACACATATCTTCATGCTTGTACAGTAAACAGTTCCTGATGGAACTATCACCCAAAACTTAAATTATTTTTTGTTGTTTCTGTCTTCATAAAAATAACTAAGAACTATATTTCATTTAGAAAATATCAAGTACAACTTTTGGGGAGGTGGGTATGATCACAAGTATATTAACTAGAAGTGCTCAGGAGCTTAGTCTGCTGGAACTCAATGTCAAAATACAATTTCTCAGGTTATTAGAAATGGACATTGATTAGAAACTTACTCAGTGTGGGAACAACACTGCCATAGTGTTAATGCTGAATGTTCCCAAAAGGCCCAAGTGTACCCAGGGTGGCTCTGTTAGGAGATGTTATGTACCTTCCAGAGCAGAGGCCTTGTAGGATACTGTAGTCCCCAGGGACGGTATGTTTATGAGAGGATTGTGGGACTCTGGCCTCTTCCTTTTCTTCTCTGGTTCATGAGGTAAGTTGTTTGTTCTGTCACTAACTCTCGCCATGATGGGACGCCTCATTAACGGCTCAAAGTCACAGGACATAAATTAGAATTTCTTTTTAATGAAAGATAACTCGGCATGATGGTGAACACCTGTAGTCCCAGTACTCAGGAGGTAGAGGCAGGTGAATTCAAGGTCAGCCTGGTCTTCAAAGTGAGTTCCAGTCCAGCCAGGTATATACAATGAGGCTGAAACTGTTTAAAAAACCCACCACCACCATTACCACTACCACCACCACCATCAACAATAACAAAGATAAAAAACAAAAAAAGACCAGACATTTTTTAAATAAATTATGTCAGATATTTTGTTATAGCGACTGAAAGCTAAGACAACTACATTTTCACTTTCTTTTCATAAACTTTTCCAAATACACTACAACTAAGAGAAAAAAAAAAGAAGCTAGGTAGAACAAAAAATAAATCAGAGTGATTATTTTATAATCCATGGATAAATTAGGTTATTTTTAGCTATAGAGATTTCTCAATTTATGTTATATCCTAATAAACATTTGTAAATTGAAAATATCATTAATTAAAAATATGCATTAAAATGGGGCATGGTGGCACATGCCTGTAATATTATCACCCAGGAGGCTTTTGCCGGAAAATTACAGATTGAAAAACAGCCTAGGCCACATGGTGGGATCTTACAAAGAGGGAGAAAGAAAGCATTTGCTATCTAATCTAATCTAGTATATACCACAGCTCCGCAATATGATAAATGGTTACTCTTGCTATGTGGCTGACTAGGAACTACAGCTTGCTTCTGCACTCAGCGTTATAAGACAATGTCCTGCCACATATTACTAGTTCCAAACTATCAAAATGTAAGATGTAGTTTTCTGGCCATGTAGAGTATTTTGTACCTTTATAAAGCTGGAAAATTAAGTCAGAAATGGTCTGCATGAATTTTCTACAACACATGGTTATAAGGCATTAGTTATTTCCAACTCCTAAAAGAAAAGTCATCAAAAGAACTCAGGATTGTCTTATTTTTCTGATTCAGTGCTGACAGCCCCATCTTTAGGGTAGAATTCTGGTATTTAGAATAAAAAACAGATGGCCCTTTCATATTTTTATGAAGCAAAAGCTATCAGATTATTAAGTTGATGACAGTTTAACAGAGAACAGGAGCAGAAGGAAGATTCTGATATGGGCAGTGGTGAGTAAGCACCCTCTTTTAGGAAATGGTACACTCATGCTGCATGAGTCTTTTTTGGAAGCCAAAGAAAGAAATGGCAGTACCTCGGTAATTGATGATTTCTGTACCAAGCACCGGAGTCATCTCCAGGACTGTAATGAAGGCTTTGTCCATAGATGTCAGAGGAAAAGGAGACATGCGATGTCTTCGAGCCACCTTGGTGATATCTACAGCACTGTGACCTAAACAGGAGACAATCGACTGAGAATAAGACATTGAAACACTCATCAACAAGTAAGAATGACTTTAAGCACCCAAACTTCTAATCTCTGGCTTCCTGTCAGACAGTATTTTTCTTGTTTCTGACTGTAGAACATTAAATGAAATTAAAATATGTCAAAACTTTGTGAAATTTAATGATACTGGCTAACCAATGAATGTTCACTATGGGTTAAGGGACTATTCTAGATGAACTACTAATTCCATGCCGTAGAAAGGTTCTGTTACTGGTTTTCTACAGCCAAGGAAAGAAGCTTAGATAGGTCTGCTATAAAGATGAATGCTTTGCACTGGTATGGATCTTTATTGATATAAATTTAAGGCCAATTTTGTTATATGTATATTTCTGCTCTTGATTAAGGTATTGTGTTTGTGCAGCTCATTTAAAAATATGTATGATTAAGAAATACAGGTTAATAGATAGTCATCTATAATAGTCAAGCATGAAGTAATGTTCGTTAGGTTTCCTAGATGTACAGAGATACATTTCAGTTAGACTGACAATCTTCAACACTGCAAAGATCTACGGAATATGACACTTAAAATATTTTAAGAACTTAGACTTTTCTTGACACTGAGACACATATGCTTCTGGCAGTACCAATCTACTTCAAGAAGATGATGGGTATCAAAGAGGTTCCTTATGGAGCTTGTTAGCCATTAGGGCAAGAAACTGCTCTTGCCTGGACTGTTTGATGGTATGCTGTATGAACTGGACATGCAGGACACACAGAAAAATCACTGGTGAAGTTGCCTAAAGAAGGTGAGACAGTCCTTCACGGTTCCTGCTTCATGAAAGAGTCTACCAGACATTCTGTAGGAATTAGAAGAAAGAAACTGACGAACTTTGCCATTACAAGGCAAAACAGATCTTCAAATTTCCTGCTTCATGAAAAAGTCTGTCAGACCACTTCCTAAATATAATCCCAGTAGCACAGACACTGAGAAAAACAATTAATAAATGGAACCTCTTGAAACTGAAAAGCTTCTGTAAAGCAAAGGACATGGTTAACAAGACAAAACAACAGCCTACAGAATGGAAAAAGATCTTCACCAACCCCACATTAGACAGAGGTCTGATCTTCAAAATATACAAAGAACTCAAGAAATTGGTCACCAAAAGAACATATAATCCAATAAAAAAAATGGAGTATAGATCTAAACAGAGAACTCTCAACAGAGGAATCTAAAATGACTAAAAGACACTTAAGGAAATGTTAAAAATCCTTAGTCATTAGAGAAATGCAAATCAAAACAACTCTGAGATTCCATCTTACACCTTTAAGAATGGCCAATATCAAAATCACGGATAACAACTTATGCTGGAGAGGTTGTGGGGTAAAGAGAACACTCCTCCATTGCTGGTGGGAATGCAAGCTGGTACAGTCCCTTTGGATGTCAGTGTGGCGATTTTTCAGAAAATTAGGAAACAACCTTCCTCAAGACCCAGTACTACCACTTTTGGGTATATACCCAAAAGATGCTCAATCGCACCACAAGGACATGTGCTCAATTATGTTCATAGCAGCATTGTTTGTCATAGTCAGAACCTGGAAATGACCTAAATATCCCTTGACTGAAGAATGGATAAGGAAAATGTGGTACATTTACACAATGGAGTACTACATAGCAGAAAAAAATAATGACATCTTGAAAAACGCAGGCAAATGGATGGATCTAGAAAACATCATATTGAGTGAGGCAACCCAGGCCCAGAAAGACAATTATCATATGTATTCACTCATAAGAGGTTTTTAAACATAAAGCAAAGAAAACTAGCCTACAAATCACAATCCCAGAGAACCTAGACAACAATGAGGACCCTAAGAGACACATACATGGATCTAAACTACATGGGAAATAGTAAAAAGCATGATCTCCTGAGTAAATTGGGAAAAGATATTTTATTACAAATAAAATTATTAATGCAAATACTAAGATCAGAATAGACAGATCCTTCCAAAAGAAGCTGTTGTTCTGTCTTCTGTCTGAAATATGTTGGATAATTGGGGTATTGTGACCATTTTCCAACTATTAGGATAGAACTCTGATGACAATTTTGAGCTGCTGGATAACATTCCACTGGCTCGTTTCTTGACTTCCAAAATGTGAAATAAACTCTCATTTCTCTAAACCACTTTGTAATGATTATATATGTCCATTATCCAGAAAACTATAGTATCTGGTTCTTACATCTTAACTAAATTTAGTGCTTCTGCCAGAACTCCAGCAGCTGTTTAAACATGCTCACTGTGTGACTGAAAGGTACTATCCTAAAGAATTTCCAACATATGAATCAAAAGAGTCCCCCATTACACATATAAAATTGCTAATATACCCTATAACATTTACCTTATGGACAATAAAAGAAATCATAGAAATTTAAACCTGAATACTACTTTTTATTCACTATCATGGCTCAATAATTAAAAGAATATGACTTATCACTCACAGTTGAAATATAAATTTATTAATAACCTACTTTCACTGAGGTTTGAGCTCAGTCAATCAAATATCATAAAAACATATAGGCATAACCAGTATAATTAGAAACAACAACAAAGATAGTGACTGCTTTCTCCTATTCATTCACAGAGATATGCAGATTCCAGTTTTGATCTTTTTGTGGTACTTTATGGTACATATTATATATAATCCTATAAAAACTGTCCTTCTAAAATGTTTAGGTTTTAAGAAACTTATTATTTAGTTTTATAGGATTATTTGTTGAACACTACAACAGAATAAAAATGTTTTAGACAGCAAATTTGATTATCCCTGATAACACAATCAATTAACACTTATTTATCAAAGTATACTTTACAAACCAGATACAGGTAAGGAGTTGGAATATGCAAAGTAATCTGTACCTGGCCATGAAGAGCATTATGAAGGGAAAACATATAGTTAAGTGAAAGCATGGTGAACTGTGTGGTGGGTCTTTAACTTCAGAGTTTGGTTGGTAGTTCTTCTTCTTCTTCTTCTTCTTCTTCTTCTTCTTCTTCTTCTTCTT